AGGTTATAATGTGTCATAAATCCAATGTCTATATTTAGTCCATGATTTTTAGTATCCAGGAGGTTGATGAAATGGAGTTCATAGGCTTGTCTCTGAGCAGTGTTTTGTAAGTTTCCTTTGAGGATCAGGACTGAGAGATTGGAGAAAGAGTGGTTTTCTTGTGAGAAATGTGCCCCTGCAGGTAACTGGGTGATTGCACACACCAAGAAAGCTGTAATATACAGCCAAGCCCTCAGATACCACTGAATTTGCACTGAAAAGAATACCTGGGATTGCCACCTCACCAATCTTAAAATGGCTTTCACCCAACAAGGATGCTTCTCCAGAGAGATAGATCACACGTTTGAAAGAGCCACCCGGATACTACGGGAAGAACTGCTGCAGTACAGAAGAAAACCCCCCACAAATCGCACACCGCTGGTTATGACGTATCACCCCTCCCTTGAACCTGTACAGAAAATCCTCAAACGATTGCCACCCGTACTAGAAAGAGACCCTATTCTTAAAAAGATCTTCCCAGAGCCACCCATCCTAGCCTTGAAACAAGCACTGAACCTCACTAACCTCATCACCAGAAGCAAACTTCCTCAAGCCCAGAACACACCAATGCCATAACAAGAAATGCAAAACCTGCCAACACATCTTTACCACCCCCACAATCACTACACCCCACAACAGAGCCATCAGCATTCCTGGATCTTACAGCTGCACCTCCAGAAAAGTTATATATCTCATCCAGTGCACCAAATGCCCAGATGGAAAATACGTAGGAGAGACCAAACAACAACTGCGCACCCAAATGAATGCACACCGGAAATCTATCAAAGACAGGAATACCCTTTCTCACAAGAAAACCACTCTTTCTCCAATCTCTCAGTCCTGATCTTCAAAGGAAACTTACAAAACACTTCCCAGAGACAAGCCTATGAACTCCACTTCATCAACCTCCTGGATACTAAAAATCATGGACTAAATACAGACATTGGATTTATGACACATTATAACCTGCCTGACATCTGACTCCCTAGGTATCTCTCCACTATTCATCCCCCTTCTCTCTCTCCCCTCCTCCCTGCCCCACCTGTCTGTCACCCATTGACTCCTCAGTCTACATTTTCACTGACTACCTGTCTTGTATGCAGACCAGCCCAGCCTCTGGCTTCTTTACTTTTTATTCCATCCAGGAACAGCACACACCAACTGCAGAAACTTCCTTAGCCTGATGAAGGGTTTTTGAACCTGAAAGCTTAATAATTTGCTTAATAATTAATAATTATTTTCCAACTTTTTAAGTTGGTCTAATAAAAGGTATCAGATTCACCCAAAGAACCTTGTCTGTCTTAACTTTGATGACCCACTTCTCATTTGCTCTCTGGCGACTTACAGACAGCAATATAAAGTAAATAAGAAGACACCTTATTTGCCTGCTTATTTGTGTGTTTTTGAAGTGTACACTCATTTTTCAGAGATTTTGAGCTTCCAGTGTGATAATTTCATATTTAAGGCCTGGCAACGCTGCTTCTCAGCCTCGTTGCTGTGGGGATGGCTTGGCCTCCACCCTAGCCTTCCCTATTGCTGTGGTGATGGTGTGGCTCTGGCCTGGGCAGCTTCTTCCTGCCCTGACAGAGCCAACTGGTGCTTGCAGAAGAGGTGCCCCTGTCCACTCAAACACACATACCCCAGCTTCCTCCCACAGCATTGGCCCCCATCAGGGTCACCTCTTATCTCTCAGAGAGGGCAGGAGCCCTCAAACCCACTCTGCCCAGAGAGACTCCATCACCATCAGGAGAAGGGACAGAGAGAGAGACACCCCGGTTGCAGTCAGAGACATGCCCCCCAGGCCTCACTAGTCTTGATAGACTCCCCTTCTGTCTAATCTTGGGTCTCCTAAACACTAAGCTGAAGTTCAAAGTTGGTAGCTGATGGGCTGGGGGGCAGCTCAATGCCCAGGCTGTGCTGGTGATGGTGCTGCGTTAGTGCACGTGTGAATCAAGGGAGACCTCCAGCCCCTGCCCCAGCCCCTGTGGCTGCTGCAGGAGGAAAACCCCTGTAGGAGCCCAAGATACACATGGGAATCAGGCAGCAGGGGCTTGCCTGGGCTCTTGGCTGCCACTGTCATGGGGAGGGGCTCTGTATGTGGAGCAGGAAAGTAGGGGGCATGCAGTATCTGGGCTACAGGAGGGCACTGTGTCTTCAGAAGACATGGTAGAAGCCCTGGGAAGTCGAGCTGCACTGTGGGTTCCAGTGGAACCTAAGAGAGTAAGAAAGAGCTCTGTGTCCTGAGAAAGATACCTATGTTAAGGGGAGAGAAAGCCCAGGGGAGAGAAGCAGAGGGAACCAGTTTGGGATGTTTAGCTGCTGCCAGGCTTAGCTTTCAAGCAAACTTTTCAATTATTTAATTTCCTTGTTTTTAGATAGTTCCCATGCTGCCCTGGCTACGGCAGAGCAAACAATGAATTGGATTGAAAAGAGCTCCCAGCCCTCAGGGACTCCCTTTGCATCAGCCCCAAGGGAATGACTAGCCATGGTGAAATGAAGAGCTGACAATTTCACAGCTGCTATGACTATGATAGTATTCTTGTCTAGTAATCAGTAAGGAGGACCCATCCCAAACCCTTGCAGAAGGCTTCCCAAAGCTAAACCACCTTAGCATTACCCCTTCTTCCCCTTGTCCCATGTGTGCATCTACTGGTCCATGAAAGGTATTGGATTAGCACTGAAACAAGCCCTGGATCCATCTCCAGGGCAGGCTCCCCAAGCACACCGTCCTCCTAGACAGCCTCAGCTCTTATGTGAGGATGGCCATTCTGCCTATAGGGGTAACAGGACTAGTTCAGGCTCCAAAGCCCATGCAGATCTTAGTTTCTTTGCAGACCTATGAAATAAGTGGAAAATGTTAACTTCTAAACTGGAGACTGAAACTGAGACCCACTAACCTCATTGCCTGGGGGCCACCAAACCTCCTTTAAAGGGAAATAACCTTCTTTAGCCCATTACTGACATCAGATGCATCTAAACTGCTACATGAATATACAAGCAATATGTACAAGAACAAATCACGTGGAAAGAGCACTAAGGTTTTCAAGTCAAGCATCTTAATAAATGCCATGGGTTGCTCAACTGCTTGCTAGGTGCTGGAAGAATCCTGGGGACTGGGATTCCTGAATTGTCATCTTGGTGGTAGGTGCAGTGTGCTCTGAGCAGGATCCAGCTTCAAACTAGCCCAAATCAGGCAAGCTAGTCACTGTCCCCGTGGGACTCCTGGACTGCAGTGCCAAGCCGGGCTTGGCAGCTGGGCGAGTGCTGCCAAGGCAAGGCTTACTGTGGTGGTGGGAAAAGCCACCCCAGGTGGGGAAGTAACTGAACAAGTAGAGTGCAGGCCTCAAATGCGAGAGACTGGGTTGGATTCACATGCTCCATGTGCAAGCCTGTTCTACAGGTCCAGGGTATGCCTGCCTGGCTACTACAGTAGTAAAAGCCCAGGGTGGCCAGTGTGGGGATCAAATCCACAGCCTTAGGCATTATTAGCACCATGCCCTAACCAGCTATGCTAGGTGGCCAGGGGCAAAGGTCTTCCCCTAGCAGGAGTGTACTTAAGACTAGCCCAAGTCAGGCAAGCTAGTCACCAGCCCTGTGGGAATCCCGGACTGCAGCACCAAGCCTGGCTTGGCAGCCGGGGGGACTAGCTCAAGTGGTAGAGTGCTTGCTTGGCATGGAAGAGATTGCAGGCTAGTGGTCACATGTTGACTTACTACACTGAGGTTCCTCATGCGGCACTGCTTTCCCAAAGCCAAGACTTTTGAGATGCAGGGCACTGGCTAAAGAAATATCTGAGGTCCAGCCCCTGGAGTTGGGCTTGGTCATAATGCTCCATATTTTGGTATGTGCACCCCAAATATTTTTTTTATGGAGTGCTCTAGGTGTTTGTCCATCTGAATTTCACTCTGCAGCCCTTTTTCAGAGGCTGTTCCAGTGGCTGAGAACATAGGGACAAACCCTACCCTCTCTGCAAATCTTGCTTACAATCTGTTTACTTACCTCTCCCTTGTTTTCCTCTCTGTCAGGCAGTGGGCTCCAACCAGTTCTGACACTGTGCCATGTTGTGCAGTTAAAGGCAAGAAGTGCAGATGCACATGTGATTAAATCATTGTTAAGTGTTTTTTTATGATATCACAGAGGAAACATAGGCAGGCAGCACTACTGATAGGAGATGCCCAGGTAACCCTTTAATTGCCTTTCATTCCACCCTATGCAGTGACCAGG